CTTATAAAAAAAGTGAAGTAAAAACCCTAAAGTTGCACAACTTGTTTATAGGCCAAAGAAAAGCCACTATTAACTCCACTGCAAAAGAAAAATCGGCTTAGATGCGCTAATGAACATAGACAATGGACACCTCAACAATGGTGTGTAATACAATGGCATGATGAGGCCCGAGCCCGATTCGAAGTTTGTGTTGGTGACAGACGCAGTAGAGTTATTCGCAAAAAAATGAAGCATTCCATGTTGACTGTCTGAAGAGAAAAGTGAAATTTCCAGCATCCATTATGGTCTGGGGCAGTATGTCATCAAAAGGAGTAGGAAAACTACATTTTATTGATGGAAATGTGGATACAAACAAATATTTGGCAAATTTAGAAGAATCGCTTTTACCAGTGATGGAAGAATGTTTGACATCCAGGCAAGATTTTGTGTTTCAGCAAAATGGTGCAGCGTGCCATACCTCAAAAAAGGCTATAAAATGGATGGAAGAAAATAATGTACCTGGAAATTTGACCGGTGAAATGTATTTGGAATTACTGGAAGAGGCCATAGATCCTGCATTAACAGCCATAATTGAAAATCAGAATGATCGGCGGTACATTGCGAATAGGTTGATGTTCCAACAGGATGGTGCCCCACCACATTACGCATTACGTGTTCGACAATATTTAGATCAGACGTTTCCAGATCGATGGATTGGTAGAAGAGGTGCCATTGTATGGCCCCCAAAATCGCCAGATTTATCACCTTTGGATTTCTTTATGTGAGGTCATTTAAAAAGCAAAATCTATGCTACTCAGCCAACATCATTAGAAGACTTGCGACAAAGAATTGTGAATGAGTGCCTTCAAATTACTCCTCAAATATTGCAAAATGTGCGGCAACGTTTTGAGCAAAATCTTTATTATTGCATGGAGAGTCATGTTGGCCATTTTCAACATTTACTTGCCTAACGGGTCAGTTCATTCTTCATTTTTAAATTACTTTGCTCCCAAATCTATTGATCTCCACTAATGATGATGTATTAGTTTTATTAAAGATTTAAATCAATAAATCTTCAAAACTACTGAACTGAAGCTCATGTATTTTACATCATTATAAAGGGAATTGAAAGACCTTTAAGATTTTGGGGGTGGTGTCACCCCCGCTTAGGGGGCTGCACGTGCTAACGTGATTTTTTGCCAATCTTGTGTCCCCCTGAGCGTTTTTCAAAAAAAAACTGAGTTGCCAGGAAATGCATCTGTTTCGTTTTCGTTGCGCCACCCTGTATAAATGTACCAGAGACGGTTGATCAACCTGGATTACAGATTTGTTTTTTTAGACCATCGTTTGCATGAACGTCTCGTCTGGAATAAGGTTTTCTCTTGTACATTTGATATAACAGTGAATTTGAATTTTCAATCCTCGCTGCTTATCGGCCAGGATATCATCATCACTCTCTTCCCATCTTTGATCACTCGTATAGATTTTTAGAGGAGACTCAATCTCTTGATTGGAGATTTCCCTTTATTCTTGTTAACAGCAGATACATCTATCTTCTGAGAAAGGATACCTTTTCCCAGATCGACAATATTAGGTACCATATCGTAATCACTGGGAGCATCATCTTGGTCGCTGTTCCTGCAATCATCGGGGGGATCTAACGCAACCTCTAAGCTCTGTGCACCTTCGAACTGGTCATGAGCTTCATCGCTGTGAAAGTAGTTCATAAGCTCCTCTAAGTCATTAGTATCTTCTTGATTATACAACGTTACTCTATAAAATATGTCAAACATCAAATAATACCTATAATGTAGCCCATCGTTGATATATCATACGTGACGTAGAAACTTTAAAAAAGAACCGCAAATTCTAATTTTTACATATTTAGAGCAACCTACAAGAGTGCGGAATGAACATAATTAACGTCATTATAAATCATTATAGTTATATGAAAATAAAGAATAAGTTTTGTGGCACTCATTCCGATGGTGAATGTGATCCTACCCTTTCTATAACAGCTCACTATGTGGCATAATGAAAATAGAACTGAATTGCTAGGTAGTATCATCAAAATTGAACCTATCTACACTTAAAAATTTGAACGACCGCACGATATGCCGCTTAGGGGCCGCGCTACGGCTAAACCGCCGCGGATTCTATCCGCCTGATTTTGTGAGTACAGTAAACTAATGAAAGCGGCCGCACTTACGGTTTTTTCCGCGAATGGTTTTAAAACCGCGACTTGTTACAGAATAACTAGCGGGAAAAAACAGTGCAAAAATTTGAAGTTCATAGGACTTATATCGGTGCGCACACATTCTTATAGCCCTCCAGACTCATGGCGCGAACACCCGTCTCGAGAAGCCTTGGCGAGACGGGTGTTCTCGCCGTGAGTCTAGAGGAGCTAATAGGAACACCGTCATGAAGAACCAGATATGCATGAGTCATCATGGGCATTACCAATATAATGTACGTCCACTGCATCATTGAAGAGCTTAATCCCATATGTTTTGCCATGGGAGCGTTTGGTCTGCGGGATCCAGGTTAGCTTGGAGTCTAGTATTACCCCCAGGTATTTGACTTCCCCCGACAGTTGTAACTGTTTGACCAGAAGGTATAGAGGTCCTAACCGCTGTGAGCATCTTCCTTCTGGTGAAAGCAACTATTTCTTAGAGGGACTTCCTTGGCTTGGAGGCTATTTTTTCCCCTTTTCCAGTGTCATACTTGGTTAATTAACCACAGAAGTAATATAACAAGCTGTATGATCCCTCTCTCCAAAAAGGCGTAAGAGTTCATAGAAAGGCCTGAACGAACTATTGATGTGCGCCATTCTCTGGCCGGAGTTCAATGCAAATCAAAGATGCCTACTTAAATTCCGTAGATGATTCCTGGACCTGACTCTAGACGGGTCCACTTATTGAAGAGATGCCCAGTCGTACTGACTTCGAGTGATCGACATGGGGAACACTGAACCGTACTAGAACCGACATAGCGCCGGTAAAAGTTAACCAAATATAAGAATAAACAATTCATTGAAAATGGGGGGTAAGGGTAGGAGGCGGATTCAGTGGGACATTTTTAGGTGAGGGGACTTCTGGGAGCGAATGTTCTTGTCATCGTGTGACGACGGAAAAACGGAGAGAAGGGTTACCGACTACTGAAAATTGAAGAACAGGAGGACAAGAATTTTCTGCGTATTCACCTTTCCCCAGTAATCCTACATCTAGCAACACGGTGTCAAAAGTGTAGGGATGTCGTTGATATACTAAGTGACATATAAATCCGAACACCCAGTTTAAATGGTTTTATTTTAATAAAAGTTGGTGAATGTATTTATCTTACTGTAAATAACAAGTGAAAAAATTTTCAGCCTTATCAGTTGGACATTCCGGTTTTTATACTGCTTTTTTTTTAAATTCACTAACGCTCTAAAAATGAATATTTCAGCCGCAGTAAAGAATCAACGTTGGCGGATTTTGGTTCTTGACATCCTTTACGATTGGTTACGATGCCTAGAGTACGGAGACCTGTACGATTTCGTCAACTTAGTGACTTTGATAGGGGCCGTATAGTGGGACTGCGGGAAGCTGGGCTTTCCTTTCGGGCAATTGCAGTTAGAGTGCAAAGAAGTGTAGACACTGTGGTTAGGTGTTGTCAGGCATGGCTTCGAGAAGGCCGTACGCAAAGAGCAAGGGGCACTGGACGCCGCCGTAGAACAACAGACCGTGAAGATCGCCGCCTAAGATTATTGGCCTTAAGGGACCGTTTCTCCACTACCAGGTCCATTGCAAATGAATGGTTTGCAGAACACGGAAGACCCCATCTTTTACCCTATCTTGACACCCTGGCAGATCCAACTTTCCAACAAGATAATGCCCGCCCACATGTTGCAAGAGTCACAATATACTTCTTTCAACATAATGATGTCACATTGTTACCATGGCCACCAAGATCTCCTGACTCATCCCCAATTGAGCACGTGTGGGATATGATGGGTAGGAGATTGCTCAATTTGCAACGTCCTCCTCAGACTCTAGAAGCACTTCGAGAGGAGTTGATGGTTGCCTGGAATGAGATACCACCGGAGGACATTGACCACTTGATCAGAAGCATGCCTAGGCGCGTTGGAGAATGCGTAGCACATCAGGGTGCATCCACACATTATTAAAGGTGAAAGGGCTTTAAAGCAGTGCAATCATTTTGAAATTTTTATCATTTACTTATTATGCTTCATTAAGTACTTATACAAAATTTTATTAAAATAAAACCATTTAAACTGGGTGTTCGGATTTATATGTCACTTAGTATATAAACGCCATTGTGCTTACAGTACAGAACTTCCGCTGGTCCTCGTTTCCGATCCGATAGTAGTTGAAAAATTTCGCAAGATGTTTCCTTAAATCTGGATACTTTTTGTGAAAGAGACCTTTCTTAAATCTCAGTCAGTAGATGGACCCAATATTTGCGAAATTTTTGATGACGTTTTCTTTTTCTGTGTCTTAGTATTAGAGCAACAACACATACAGTTTCTAATGTCCAGTTTCGCGGTTTTTAACCGTAGTGTGTGCGTCTCGGGCGGTTTATCGCTTGCGGGAAAAAAACCGTAGTTGCGGCCTACGCCTTACGCAGGAGATAACATAACCTCAAACGACCACGTGTTTTACGTATACTGTATTTCACGAGTATCCATCACGGTACACTGACAGCTGAGTATCTAGTAATATCTCAAAATTCCTCATTTTTTTTTTGTACGCTAAAGATTCATTTTGTACCTGCTAACAGCTCTTTTATTTAGAAAAGTCCATTTGCAACAAAAACAAAACGCCACAAATTTTACTAGACTTATACCCAAGTCATTATTGCCAACGTTGCAGGCAAACACAAAAATGTCACTTGCTGATCAGCTGTTCACCTCAGTAGACGTTTTTTTTTGGCACAGGACATTGCGTCCCATTAGCCAGATCCAATCTTGTATATGTATATCTCTAATTATGGACAAACACACGACATCACAACATCCATGGCGAAGGCGAGATTCGAACTCGCGGCCCGGCCGGCCGGCTGATCAGTAACACGATATTCTGACCTCTGACCCACGCGGCCAACCGAGGTCCAATCAGTAGACGTCAAAGCATCATGGATACTCGTGGATTAGGGCATATGGTGAATCATACGCTGGGAACTAATGGGTTAAAAAAAACTCACTCTAAATTCTACAATGGGGGAACCTCAATATTCTAACAGCTACGCTTTGTAAATCACAGAGAAATATTTAAAACAGTTTCATAAAAAAATGTTTTTACACCATATATCAGGCTTATATTACAGAATAACAAATACATATCAGTTTGCTACCTCTTCATAGCTTTCTTCATTCTGATAAACTTTTTCTTTCTATTTCCTCCCAACTTTTGTTTGAACGGTCTATTTCTGCGTTGATTATTCTTGATTTTTGCTTTGACTATCGTTTTTACACTCCTGCGAATATTAGAGAAGTCTTCGTTATCGCACGTTTTCATCTTCTCCATAAAATCAGCACCCTCTGAAAACAAATGAACGAAAATCAATACCAGCAAAATTTCAATAAAAATGAAGAAGCCCTATCAAGCTGCGAAGGAACGAAAAAACCAGCTTTGTGCGAGGCAACCACAAAATTATTTTTTCGTTTGAATAGACCTGTGTACAGGGTGGCCCATACAAAAGGTCGCACCCCTATTTGTGACTCTGCTGATACATTTTGGGGAAAATGCTCATTCAAGTCAATTTTGATTTCTAGGGGGACATCTTTTCATCTAGAGCCATATAATACAGGGTGATCCAAAAACAAGATACTGCATTACACTTTAGATAGGTATTTAAATGGAAACCCTCTTTTGTCAATTTTTATATTCTCCATCCAAGTTTTTAGTAACTTTTGTATAACAAAGTTTATACCTATCTTCAATCGCTGTGAAGCTATTTGAGTTTATAATAAAATTCTAAATCATAAAAGTAATAATCAATATAGTATTAAAAAAACAAAAAACAACTTACAGCTTACTCGCACATTAAAGTTAAACTAAAAATTAATTTTCTATAAAGAGGTAGGTCAATATGGTAATAAGTGTTGAAAGTTGCGTCGCTTTACCTCCATGCAATAATAAAGATTTTGTTAGAATCAATTCCTCACATTTTCAAGCATGTCTGGAGTTATTTATCTACATTCAGCCTTAATTCGCTGACGAAGATCTTGAATCGAATCTGGCTTCATTCTAAAAACTTTACTTTTCAAATGCCCTTAAAGAAAGTGATCTAAAGGACTTAGTTCCGGAGGATCTCGGCGGTCACTCGACGGGGTCTTGTCTGCTGATCCACTGCTTCGGGAAATGGGTGTTCAAAAACTTTCGTACTAGAGCCATATAGTGCGGCGGTGCATCATCTTGTTGGAAATGAATGTAATTTTCATTATAATTGTGTGTCCAAGTACGTCTCGCCCGTCAAGTTTTCAGGAATAAAGAAAGGTCCTACAATATGATTTCCGAAAGTGCCGACCCACACCTTTACCTCACGAAACAAATGTGGGTTCGAGTCACTCCGATATCGACAATTATGTCTATTTACAGCACCATGTAAATAGAACGTACACTCATCCGAGAAACCAATATTAAATAACAGATTTACATTTTTGATTAAATGTTGAGACTTAGATTCGCAAAACTTCAACCTTCCATTAAAATCGTCTTAATAATGCTCATGGACAAGTTTTATCTTGTATGGGTGAAATTTATTGTTGTTCAAAATTCTTTGTACTGTTGAGTGTCTAAATCCTGAAACAGTAGCCAGTCCACGAGTGCTTTGGGTGTTGTCAAGTGCTTCATGCCCTACTTCTGCGACTTCATTTCTAACTGATCGATTTTCTCGATGGCGAATATTAAACCCATCCAGTTTCTTCAAAAATTTTCTTATCATCCTAGCCACATACTTATCGTCAATATTTTTGTCTGGATGTAACGCATTAAACAACTGGGCAGTAGCTCATGCAATGCTCCCATTTTGGTACCCTTTCTTGAATTGGATAAGTCATTGTCCAATATTTATCACAACTGGGTAGGTACTTAACAATTTGAAATGAAATACAAAGTTTTTCTATGACATACGATGACACTGGCTGATGCTAAATGTTATTGCTGGTAAGTTAGTTGAATTTTATTATAAACTCAAATAGCTTCACAAAAATTGAAGATAGGTATAAACTTTATTGTACAAAAGTTACTAAAAACTTCATGGAAAATCTAAAAATTAAATAAAAATGGGGGCTTCCATTTAAAAATCTAAAGTGTAACACAATCTTATTTTTGGATCACCCTGTATTGTACGGCTATAGATAAAAAGACGTCAACCTAGAAATCAAAATTGACGTGTCGAAGCGTTTTCCCCAAAATATATCAGGAGAGTCACCGGGATACCCACAATAGTTTAGTACATGCTGAAAGGCCTCTCCAAAATAGTAGCTTTGATATACCACACTATAAGGTTTGGATTTCTACTTCTGGAGGTATAGGATATTTTGTCAAAAAAAACTCAACCTTTTCAGCTCGTAAGTCAGTTACTTTCACAGAGTAGCAAACTCCTCATCAAAATGAGCTACAACTATACAGTGTGTTTATAATAAACATAATGTGTACTTTGAATACTCTGCATCTTCCTTATATTCCTTTATTTTGCTATTACATTTTTTTGAAGGTTAAATGTCTATATTTTTGAGTTATTTGTCGCATCCCAGAAAATACTATTCAAAATACATACTGCACGAGTCATGGGACGGGAAGATTTTTACAGGACGGGAGGTAATTTAAATGAAGGCTTGCTGCTCACCTTGTAATCTGTAGTCATCAGCTTTGAAGAAAAATGATTCAGTCGAAAGGTTCTTCGCTACATTTCTACTTGCAGTTTGTTTAGTTTTACTGTTACCTTGTTTTTTGCTGTCCTCCTTTTCTTGATTTTGAATCCCTATTTCTTCATCATCATCATCAGAAGAAGAATCATAATGAAATGGATTTTTGCCTCCTATTCCATTACTATCTAATGGTAAAGCAGTATCTTTATATTCCTCATCAGGTTGCCTCTCCTCCGCCTTGCCAAACAAATTCAGAAGACTAAAATCTTTCTTCTCTTGTAAACTTTCTTTCAAATCCCCGGTTACTTTGTAGAAAACCTCTTTGGACACAGTATGTGCCTCCTTTTCTTCAACTTTCTTGTTTTCAAGTATTTTTGATTGTAGTTCCTTGTTTTTCTTTTTGGTTGGTTTCTCTACTGCCTTTGAAACCTCGAATTTAGCATGTTCTGGTTGAGATGGGTCAAAACGCAGCATACTTTTCTTAGCACTGGAAAAGTTTCAAGCCTTGTAGGTACATGGTTACTTAAACACAATATTCAGATATAATGCTTATACTATAAAGCAAATACATATTCACAAAATACACTAATTTACTACTGCTTAATACTCCAATCTTGTGTGTGGCATATCTTAACATATCTCAACCCAATAATGATTTATTTTAAAGTATTATACCATAGATAAAGCAAAACAAAAAAATCTAAACGATCACACTAAGAAAATAAATGTCAAAATGCAGGCAATGCACAATGCAAATACCCTATTTATATGGTTTTACTCATTTCTGTCGGACCAGCGACTGAGCACTTTCGTCCCAGACACCTCATGTCAAAATGCATTTAGCCGTTTGGACTGAACTATTAATAATTTTAAAGTTAGCACTTAATGCACAGTACGGGCGTGGATAAAAGTTTTGGGACAAGCAAAGATATTCTAAAAAATATATCTGTAATGCTATGTAGACGACATTTTTGATCTCAGGCATACAGGTACTGTGGCTGGCTTGAGAAAAGAACAATCCAATAGATATTCTGAACAATTAATTTGTTTTAGTCCACTTTTACCTTTAACATCCTAAGTAAATAAATACCCATTATATTACCTTTCTGTTTCTTTGGTGTATTTAGGAGTTATAGTTTTTCCCAAAACTTCATTCAGTATTTCATACTCCTTCTTCTTTTCATCTTGCAATGTCATTTCATCATCATTTGTCGTTTGAGCATTTATTGGCAATTCTTCAGATTCGTCCAAAAATCTTGAATCTAACATAAACCTTTTGTCATGTTTGTATTTTGATTGCAACTGCAACAGCTAAAAGCAGATATAGCAAACTAAACATATGATCATATACATTTTAATAGGTGTCTAACATTTCTCGAGTATATAGTATATAAAAAAATAACATGAAAAGTTTGAGAGACATTTCATATAATTTGACACCAATAAAACTGTATCATCATGATGGTTAAGCATATGATACTAATAATAATAATAATAATAAAACGTCTTTAATTAAAGGGCATTTGGCTTGAAGCTATTCTGCCTCTTAACCCTTGAAAATAAAAATAATAATAATAACGATTATAGATAAGTAGTATACCTAAATATACAAATAGTAAATAATCAAAATTTAATCATACGAGTACATGTGAATCTAGACAGAAAAGGAAACATTGTGAGAAGTGAGTGGTCAAACTATGTGAGTACTTTTCTAAAATAAATTGTTTAAGTGAGTGGTCAAACTATGTGAGTACTTTTCTAAAATAAATTGTTTAATTTGCTTTTTAAAGACATTGCAATTTATTGATTTTAATGCTTGAGGTATGTCCTTATAAAGTGTTATCACGTTGTACTTATGAAAGAATGAGGTTTTGTGAAGAGGTATTGTGAGAGTCTCAGTAAATCATATGTTTCTTGGGTGAGTAGAATTTCGAGGAATCAGCTGAGATAAAGGAATCGAACTAAGCAGAAGCTTATGAGTGTAAGTTAATATGTGTAGCTCATAGAGCTCTCTAATCTTTAACCGTCCAAAGTCTATTAAAGAACCACTTATATGGTCATATTTTCTTAAATTATTTATTAGTCTGCAACATGAATTTCAAATTTTTTGTAAACGTGAAAGAGATATTGTATCTAAAAATGGATTGTAAACTATATCACAGTGAGTGATTTTGTACATAATCAATGATTAGCATAAGCCTTTTTTAGTTTGATAATCGAGAATATGCATATTTATATATAATTGACATAGGACCCGAAAGCAGCTTTTAGTAACTTCATTTAATAACAGCATAACCAACACAACAAAAATTATTGCTCCTATAACATGTCAGTGGAGTAGAAATTGTGAAACTTTGTCACAATCTACAGAAGGAAAAAGAAAATAATTTTTTACACAACCGACCTTTTTTGAACTATTTCACTTTTCAATAAGGTATTTAATCTGATGCTTTTTTTGAGAAATTTTCAGACCACTCCAATTGGAGCAAAATTGTTTTGTATATTTGAGTTAAAATCTATATTCAACACATTAAACTTTTGAAAATAGAAGCAGTTAGTCAAGTTCAACATCAAAAACTCTATGCAACATATTAGGAGAGTAATCCTATTTTACCCTAGTACCATTTGACCAATACTCATGTTTTGCCCTTATTTAGTCTCATCAGTGGCACAGAAATTTATAACACCTAGTATTTCAAGAACAAAAGTCTTGCAGGCCCATATTTATATGAAATTTTTGGCGAATGTCACACAATCAAAATTCACCATGATCCATCAATATTTATCATGGAATGTTATATTTATTCACCATCTGACCCAGATGTAAAAAATTATTATTGATGTATGACATTATGTTGAAATCAATTTAACTGGCCACAGTAAATACGTTGACATTTGCCTTATACTTAAAAACACTGAATGAATCATTTTGTGAAATATTGGATCCTTAATAAGAAATTCCTTGTATTATAATCTTATAAAACTATAGTGTGTTCCATGAAAAAATGGTATATAATTCCAAAAAGAAACTGTATTTAAGTTGAAAATGTAGAATAGAGATTTTAAGTTACCTTTTGTCCTTCATGACCTTTGAATTGTTCTTTGACAGAAAAATCTGGGGTAAAATCCTCATCCTCTGACTCATTAAATAAAGATTTACTACTTTTATCTTGTTTCGACTTCCCCCTATCACTATGTGGCAGATCCTCTTTATCTTCGAAAACAATCTTATTTTTTGGTTTTGAATCTACATTAGATAAGGCAGCTTTGATCAATAACTTTTTATCTTGATACTGGCTTTTCAATCTTTTCAATGACTGTAACCTTTTTAAATTTGCTTCTGAATCATTTTCAGTGTTTTTCTTCTGCTTCTTCTCTATCTTAGCGACAGGATCATTGCCAAAAGATGGGATTTTCAAGCCATTCTTATTCAATGTTTTTCCTCTATTGTTTTTAATAACCATATCTATGTTTGGCTCAAGGTTTGAGTCAGATATTTCTTCTGGTCCTTCAGCTCCCTGCTTTTCCTTCTTTTTTGCTGGACTCTTGGTGATCAAAGATGAGTTGCTTGAACTATCTGTATCATCTTCACTTTCAACTAGACGTTTCTTGTGCAAAGATGAGCTTTTTGTACCATTCATAAATCCATTTTGCATTGGATTTAAAGTTATTGGTTTTGTGTCAGGAATATTTGTGGATTCATCTTTACTAGGAATTATATTTGATTCCCTTTCTCTTTTCAAACGCTCCAAGAAACTCTCTCTGGCTAACTGTAGCAAAACATAGCGATTGTGCCACTTTCGATTGGCAAAATCTTTAAAACCTGAAAAAATGCATAAAAGACTAAACATTCGAAATACACTGTAATGCAGAGTTGGTATAAAAAGAAACGTACATGTTCTCAAGGTGTGGTCGTCAGTTTCAAGATTCACATAGCCAAAATGCAAAGAGGTATGTTGGGCACTCAATTCTTTGCGAGTTTTGATTTCCACAGATTCCACGACTCCATACTGTTGAAAGGCATCTTTGATTTCACTTTCTGCGACAGTTTCTGGCAAATCACTTATGAAAATACGTTTCCTTTCTACTCTCATTTTCCATAAAATATTTACTAATTAAAAAAAATACAATGTAGAAACCACAGCACAAAACTACAGTTCAACTCAACAGTATGGTTATGTTTGAGAATTTTGAGGTTATGCTAATTTTTTAAAGACTTAAAAATTATCCATAATAAAAGAAAGATATTCGAATATCCCTAACTTCGAAAATACTCTGGATATTCTACGAGCTGGCTCGCTACAATTTTCATCTTCTGATGATTTTGCCGTGCACAAATTTGCTATGAGTGTCAACACCTAATCTCAATTGAGGAGCAGACTTTCAAAAAGCCTTAAGTGCAGTTTTTACGAAATTGGCCAAAAGATGGCGATCAAATGTATAGGTTTATCTCCATTTGTCAACCGCTCCTTGGACATCCAAAACGATGTTAAACGATAAATATAACGCCCGTTAATACGTCTAGACTTTCAAAGAGCGTTATTTTTTTCTGCGTTGGACAAACGAATAGACTTTGATAAGCTAGTTAGTACATGAACGCTTTTTGTTTGTCCAGTATATTTTGGATGAGCAGCAAGTAAACCCTTTTGTTTGGACACGTGTCTCAAGATTGTAATCCTGTCGTAACTTGCTTCAGTTAGCATAGTGATATCGAGTGGGTTAGATCGGTCGGACCACTATTATGGATGAAGAGCATATTGTTGGTGATCAAGACAGAGGCAGTAGAAAACGAAATTGGGGTGCAGCATCACGGCAGCGGCAGAAAGAAATACGGTAGATATAGTAAATTATGTTATTTGGGGAATTTTCTCATAGTTTGCGGTGTTATTTCTAGATATGATGACCCTGATCCCAACCTTGATGGTTTCCGAGTCTCCTGTAAGCATGGCAGAAATAAAAAACTGTCATGTAAGGGTATTCCTTTCGAAGATCTAAGGCGCTGCCGACAAAAGTTTTATTCACAAAAAGACAAGGTTAAGCAAGATACGAAACTGACTCATTTAATTGAAATTGGAACTCCTAGGAGAAAGAAACGTTCAGACCAAAGCTTTACTAGAAACCGCAACATTACTGTGCATTACAATGTGTGGAGCTCCAACAGCAAGAAAAGAATTTGTCATAAAATGTTTTTAAAAATTTTAGGTATTAGTCAGAAACGCATACAAAGTATTTCTAGGCAAATGAAAGCTGGATCGGGTATTTCTGAAAATCGTGGTGGTGACGTTCGCAAAAAAATGTGGAAAAGCGCAAAAAAGTGAAAGCATTCATCGTAAATTTAAAGGGGCAAGAGAGTCACTACGGAAGAGCGAAATCTAAAAGGATATATTTATCTGCAGAGTACAATATCACCATACTACATAGGCTATACAATGATAGCGTTGAAGAAAGCTATAAAGTAAATTACAAGTACTTTAGTCGCATTTTTTCAAATGACTTTAACATAGCATTCGGTACACCGGCGACCGATGTTTGTGGATTCTGTACGCGGCACCTAAATCTGCTCTCTATGGTGAACGGCCAACGCGAAAAGCAAACTGTTATTACAAATTTAAGAGTACATAAGTTACGACCAAAGCAGTTTTTTAAAATCATGAAGGAAAAATCTGAAGACGGCATGGCATTCTGCTTCGATCTTCAGCAGGTACAACCTCTCCCTAAAGTACCGATTTCAGAGGCATTTTATGCACAGCAACTCTCATTGTATGTTTTCTCTATCACAGACATACCTTGCAAGCGACCAATTTTCTACTCATGGTTAGAACACCAAGCAAGAAGGGGTGCCACAGAAGTTGGTTCTGCTCTTTACGATTTTCTCAGAAAGGCTGAATTTCCAAAAAACTTGAAAGAGTTGACGTTGTTCTCTGATGGATGTGGAGGCCAAAAGAAGAACAGTCACATAGTTCACATGCTAATGATGTGGCTACATAAAGAAGCACCAAAAGGCCTGCAATCTATAAGAATGGTTTTTCCAATAAGAGGTCATTCATACCTGCCAGCGGATCGCATTTTTGGACGATGTGAGAAGCTTATTAGGTCCCATAGCACACTAAAGTCACCAGAAAAATACTGGGAGTTGTATTCTCAAGTCGGATTGGTTCGAAAGCTTGGGACTGACTGGAAAATATATGACCTGAAATCCGATTTGTCCACTTTTAAGAAAATCGAATCAATCAGTCATGCTGAGCGAATCTTGATAAAACGGACTTCAAAACAACATGTAGCGGTGAAAACAGAAACCTTTTACAGAAATGACGATGCCAACGCCAAGTACTTGACGTTGTTAAAAAAAACAAGAAGATTGAAAACTTGAGTTTTCCAAGGTTGCCTTTGAATCATGAAATAAAGAGGACAAAGTTGAAAAGTCTGCATAACCTTTTGGTGCAGCTATCCACAGAAAGATGGCGTGAGGATGAGGAATTGCAATGGCTTCGTCCTATTTTTCCAGAGCCCCTTGAAGAGCTACAAGAGAATAGTGATGAAGACAATGATGAAGATAATGCCCAAGAAGTATGTAACTGCATCGTGGATGATGGTGGAGTGAAAGTTTGAATATTTTTCTCTGAGTCTATTTTTTATAAGATTGTATTCATCGGTAAATGGAATAAAGGTATTTTGACTTAAGTTACCGTTTCCCAAACAGAAGGACTTATTTCACCTTCGGACAAACAAAGTGCATCAAATAGAATCTACTTTTGGTCAAAAAATGGAATTTCTTTGTTTTCCAGGTAATCCTCCTTCACCATCAAAGCCTATCTATTTTCGTGGTATTTGATTCACCAAAATCAAGCATTTGCAGCTACGCATGTTGTCACAGCAGTTTTTTCCACTTTCCTCGATTTATGCGGGTCATAGCATAACGCTTTTTGAAAGTCTGCTCCTCAATTCACTTTACAAAATTTTGGACACCTCTTTTTGGTTTTAAGGCTGGGCGCATACATTCGTTTTCCGCGTTCGATTTCCGAATTCGTTTTCGATATTCGGAGACGCACGGGTATCATGTAAAAAAACCTATAAAACGTCAAAAAAACCTATAAGATGTCAACTTCCACACTAGGTAGTTTTTAGGGCCGCAAACAGTCATTCCACGTGTGCCTGTGCTCACTAGGATCGTTGTGAACGTCCATCTATGGAGGATAGGAGGAATCACTCAACTAAACTACGCATTATTGATTGCATAAATCAAATTCAAACGGATAACCAAATGGAAATGGTATTTACCATTTTGGGTTGGTATTTACCGATCCGTTCAAGCGAGTGTAGTTATCAGTTTGGTTATAAGATCCGTGACGTCACAAATCAGCTGTTATACGTCATAGTTATCACCGCAAAATTATGGTATTTACTCAACTCAAGAGTAGTTTTATATTTCTGGTTATTGTTTGAAATGTGACAAGTTAGAATTTTGCCGGGTATTGGATATTGTTATTGTACTACAGCTTCATTTTTGAGAAAATTGATAGAGGCTGTTTTACCATAAAGTGGAGCTCCTTATTAGTTATGCTCATTACGGTTGTTGGGGACACTTTAAATGTAGTTTCTATGCTTTACAAAGAAGTATCCTGTGTAGCCATATACCACAAGAATATTAAAATATAGCCATATAAACTCACTAGATGATATCCACCTGTATACGGTTTTGCTAATTTCTTTTTTCATCATTTCTGCTGAATCAATAAATGTTTTCTTTGACATGCGGAAAAATTTAGAGAATTGAAAGTTATCATAGCTACAAAGCCATGGTTCCATCATTAAAAAAAAATCTGAAAAAAACATTTCTCCCATGAATATTATGAAAGGTTTCTTATTTAAACTTTCCATATACAGTTGTAGACGAAAAAGCATCGATTATTAACTTATAATAAAAATAACCAGAGATTATATACGCGCTTTTCTAAAATAAACAACTAGCAACAAAACCGCGGTTAAAACCAACGCGTTCAAGCGATTCGTGTAACTGACGTCATCAACCCGTGTGTCATCTTCAACCATATTATAACCGCGGCACATAACACAGAAATTTTGGTTATTCGCTTGGATTTGATTATATTATAGTTTTGTCAGGCTGAGTGATCGTCTGTAGTTTTTATTTCTGAGAAGAAAGTAGGTTGAATAGCAAGATCGCATCTGGATGATTATGTGTAGTGGTCTGCATGTGTATAAAATCAGTGATATTTGCTGTGTGAGAAAATCATTACTGAATATGACGGGTTATTAATATGTTGTGCTTTCTGAAGAGAGGTTATGTTCAAAGTTATAAATTACGAAGAACTGAGAAGAATTACGAGAAATCGTGACCGCGCCCGCGTTGTTTGTAATTACTGTTAGCATGTATATGCTTGTAATTGGACAGTGTACAGTGAATATAATTATTTCTTATCTCTCTCATTTTTTAAATCCAGTAAATTTTTATATGCAGTTTCCAGAATGGATAAGAAAAAGTGGCTGGGCGACTAATTTCTAGCTTTGAATCCCGACTAGGTGTATTTGAGACAAGAACCCAATGTAATTATCATCAACACATACAACTTACAGCTTGAATGAATGAATGAATGAATGAGTCTTAAAATTAGAGGCATCCCGGCCACCATAAGGAGCCAGTGCATAGGCCGCTTAAGCGGGCCCTTATGCACCTCTACAATCCTTAAATCACAAGCCTCGCCCTTTTAGCGAAGTTGAGAATCGCCTTGAGTCCAAGCTCCTTGACGTCCTGAGGGTCCAAAGTAATGGACCCCAATATAGTCTGCCTATAGTAGCTCAGAGCTTCACAGCGACACAAAACGTGCGCCGAGGTCTCTTCCTCTACTCCGCAGCGTTCGCACAAAGGATCCTCAGCCACCCCCATCACGTGCAGGTGACGCCTTAACGTGTTATGGCCAGACAACAGTCCCACCAGCAACCTTAGGTTGGCTCTATCCAGAGATAGGCAGAAGCGTCCATCATTAGCACTGGGCCCTTCAATGAACTGCCTGGCGGAGATGTCTAGAGGTACTTTTCCATTTCTGAGAGTGTTGTCTTGCAACCCACGTCTCCATTTTCCTCCTAGCTTTATGCGCGGTCACTCCTAGAGCTGGCTCAGGACCAACGAGCTTGCTGGCTGATCCTGTTTTCGCCAGAGTGTCCGCCGTCTCATTGCCCCTTATCCCAGCGTGCCCCGGTACCCATATTAACGGTACCGGATGCCTCGCGGCGAGGCAATCCAGAGCCTCCCTGCATTGCAATACAAGACTCGAAGTAATCTTACAGGCACTTAGTGGTTTCATTGCAGCCTGGCTGTCGGATAAGATTTTTATCCTTCTCCTAGGCCCACCCTCCTCCAGAATGTGAGATACACAAGCCAGAATCGCAAAGATTTCCGCCTGGAAAATGGTGGTGTATCCACCGAGAGGCAGGGATAGCCTAGTTCTAGGCCCAGAGACCCCAGCACCTGAGCCCTCTTCGGTGACCGAGCCGTCCGTGTACCAGACCTGCCCGCTCACTTCGGAGAGTCCCCGGCTACCGGCGTCCCACTCCTCCCTCGTTGGATACTCCACAATAAACTTGCGGTTGAAGCGATATTTAGGGGTAATACGATCACCCCTGCTTAGAAGGGCGGGGTCGACTAAGTTCGACTAAGATGGCAGTATGCCCCTTGACAGGATTCAAGAAAGCCCAGCTTAGACCTCCAGTAATGCCATCTCAGAAGCAGATTTTACATCACATCAGAGTTGATAACAAACCTCATGACGTTTAGACAACACGTACAGCTAAGTGCTAAGTTAACATCTTGTTGAATAACCTACATAATGTCAAAAAAAAAACAGCATAATGTCAAAAAAATCGGCATAATGTCACTTTTCAAGATACGTGATACCCGTGCCGAATGCATCAAACGCTAATAAAATACATCGACTGTTGCACACGTTCGTTTTTTTTCTCGAACGGAACACATTCCGTACGTAGGTTTGAGAAGCCTGCCCGTGCGTTCGTAAAAACTGAACGGATAAATCCTAGTGACGTCACGCGGAATGCAGTACTGGCACACATTTGTAATGTACCGCCGCACACAGTCAGAAATTTCCATCCAGAACCCCACAGTGACGTGCGTATTGGACGTCACGTCGTTGCATCAAGAGCTGGAATGCATCAGGACAATGTGTGAAGCAGAAGAACTAACATTGGCTGTTGAAAACAACTCCTGCTTGTGGGATATTCATGACAAGGACTACCACAATAGAGATGCCAAAGATTTGGCTTGGGAGCAAGTTTTCGAAGAGGTTATACAGGATTCGAACTCGTGCATAAAAGTAGAAAAAGAAAACAAGAGTAAAATTACTTTTCTTACACTTTTATTACAAAGACTATTGCCTACTGTATTTTTATTGTTGTAAATTGGTAATCCCTGCATTATATACGTATGATATTTCTCCTGCCGGCGTCATGAAGTACTGAGCAAACTCGTCTCTTATGCTTCACACCCTCGGTTTGTAGATCTATGTTGTGTATCCAGAGATAATTTCATACAGGTATCGTGGTTCCTTAATTTATCACGTAAGCCATTACGAAGTTCATCGAAAGATTGTATTGACATCCTGTAGAAGTCAGAGAATTTATCTGGATGTGCTCGTAACTTTGCTCTTTTTAGATAAAATCGACACTCGTGGATTCTCCGACTGTTTAACGGATGCATCCAAACCCACGTTTCTTTTTCTTCTTTTTTGATAATGATAATAGAAGTGCAATCGCAATTAAATCGTCGTTCTCCATTGCCAAGCATTCACAGAGCCGCCATTGGACGTACTGGTAGTATAATATTCACTTCAAAAAATTGAACGTTTGCGCTAGGCTCACGGAATTCCGAATTGGAATTCCTGATTAGGAAGCCGTATGCGGAAAACGAATGTATGCGCCCAGCCTAAGGGTCTTGTAAAAAAACGAAGTACTGGCCATCTATTGGAGAGAGGATAGACTATCAGAACACCAACTTTTACCGGGGAAGTATGGAAAGTCTCTCAATTTCTAAACTCGGAATCTTTTTGGGCCACACAAAATTCACTATTAGGAGGTTTCGGGTCCGGTAGGGTTATTACGTAAAAAACCTGTATAATGTAAAAAAACAATAAAATGCCAACCTGCCGACTAAGTAGGCTTCGTTTCACTCCGCTCTTGCTGCCAAAGTGAGCATAAAGGTGAACGATAGCCAGTTCCAAGTTGACCTCTTGTTGGGAAACCTATATGTTATAAAAAACCTACATGATATAAAAACAACGACAATGTCATTTTTCAAGTTACGTAAATGTTGTTATTTTTTCCTTTCATAAACCTTAAACCCCTAGACACTTGTTTCGTGAATAGGTAACTTTGTCTGATGGACGACGGTCACTCTTGAATATACGGTGAAGTTGGAATTTGGTTGAGATGTCGTAATGTGTGCGAGAGAGAAGCACGAGAAGCGTCCAATATGTATGTTAGAAAGAGTGCCCGATGGCGTTCGTGACCTCTTCCCTCGGGGTAATAGGCAACGAGGTGCCTCTATCTCTTTCTAACACACGTGGGGGAAAGGTCCCTAAGTT